AACTTTATCTATTGTGTCATGCACGATGTAGAACGCAGGTTACGCCTCAAGGGTAGTATGCCGTGCTTATTAGGTGGAATAAGTAAACTCTAGGTATGCAAACGACAACTCAATACGATTCACCACACAGGCGGATGGGAGATTCCTTATCACTCTGAAACAAAAAAATAGAGATTAAGGAAAAAAATGTGAACAGTATAGAATATGGCACCCTGCTGTCCTTTTCCTTTTCTTGCACCGTGTGTTTTCGTCTTCCCACTTTGACTATTTGACTTCTAAACTCCTGTTCTCGCCACTATTGACGTGGACATATATGGCTGTGAATTCCTCCAATTCCCACTTCCTCGAAGCATGACAAGAACCTCCGGTTAGCAGACGTACTGGTGTGGCCGAATTGCTTCCGCCAACCGTGACATATTCCACGCCGTGTAAACATTAGTGCAACAACTTTATACAGCGACAGCTGACAGCGTCGAAAGATGCATGCGTACACCTTTCTGTGTACGCAAGTCTCACCTGATGTCGAAGATATGTGCTCCGAACGACTACGAGAAAAGCGCTTTGTCTGGGAACAGACACTGTCTCAAAATGTCTTCCTCTTTCGGTGTCAAGCGAGAGTTGGTTGAAATTGTATCCTCGGAGACTTCGGTCACGCCTGGCATACGAACATACGCACTCAAAGGCATGTTCAGTCAAATTTTTGAAGCTTAATTTGTTGGCCTGATAGAAACAAACTGCCGCCCTGTAATAAAAAAAAATAAGAAAAGGAACACGACGTAAACAGTTGTTGCCGTAAACATTTATTTTTTGTTACCTTGAACTGTTGTAGAATCCCGTTTCTTTTTTCTCTTTACTATAGTTCTTGCTCCTTCCGGTATAGAAGGATGCTGGGTCAGATGCGCCTGATTCCATCTGAGATTCGGTGAGATGCTCTTGATATGCCCGCAGACAACTTTCTGTGGTATTATCGATGATAGGAAAAATGAGCGTGCACAGCCTTAAAAGCGTTCATGCACACGTCCCCCACACCTTTCAATGCCTAGCCGTAGAAAGTTGTAGACGAGTGTCCTTTGATGGCCAGGACCCGACCGTTCAAAGTGAAACTAGCGAGTCTTATTATACTCGGTCTCATCTAAAACGCTCAAGGTTAGCCCTTGGACCTGGCTGACATTCAAGAACTGGTTGCCTCAAGAAGGAGAAGATGAAAAAAAAAAAACAGAAAAAACAGAAAAAAAGAGGCCCGTCTCATTATTCATTAAACATGAGAACGATACATATAAAGGTGGAAGGAGAACGAAGACTTCCAACTAGCAGTTGCTAGTTGGAAGTCTTTTTTGTCCGTCCCCCCTTTCTATATATCTTCCTCGTGTTTAATTATTGTTACCAACACGCTCGTTTTGTGCTTACCTCATTATTCAGTTACTCGACAATTGGAATCGTACACCTGTACGCTCGGCGACACTGGTAGAGCGAACAAGCCATTACCGGATTTCTTTGTGTTTTTTGTTTATATTGGAGGAGCTGTCATCAAAACTACTATAAGGGTGGAAAGAGGCCAGTTGGGATACTAACCCAAGTTGTAAATTTCAATGCCCAACTGCACCTTGTCGAAGTAAAATCTCAAAAAGTGCTGAAGTCGTGTTCGCCTTAGCAGTGTCGCGAAATGTACATCTCTAGTGGTATTAAAAACAAACAAAAACCACCATTACTTTAAATGGTTTATTGTCTGTCCATTTGTATGGCTAAGATTGGCACTTGTTCCTTAGTGAATGACTTGCTAAGTTATTTAAACAGCGGGAGATATTTGTATAGCTGTTCAGAGAGCCAGAAGTTAGTCAGCCTCAAAAAGAGTCTGGTGTCCCAGCTGTATATGAGGAATTTAGCCAGTGCAGTACAACCGCTAGCCCGGGTTCTTTAACGCGCACTGTACATAGTGTTGATACGTGAATCACGGTACGATGCTCATATTCCTGGGTTCTGCAGTGCCAGCTTTCGCTCTACGTGCTACGCCCCCTACCCCTATGTCAACTTGTTCTTAAGGAACTTCTGCTGGCTCGCTTGCGCCGTCCCCGTCTCGTTCATAATGCACCGAACGAGAATATTATGTACTCTCGTAGCCTCCTCTAAACTCACAAAGCCTGACAGCTCGACAACGGAGCCATAGACTGCCCGGTCGCAGATTCGGAGCGCGAGGATCTGGTAGCACAGAGCATTTCTCGGGGAACCTGGACGTCAGCGCACAGCTGTTGCAGCGGCGAGGACTCGAAACATGGTTTTCAAACCCGAGGGGAAAGAAGAGCAGCGCGACGAACGCGAGGAGCACGAACGGACATTCCATCGCTCGGGAGAAGTGTGTTTCGGCGTCTCGCCTCAGCGGGGCGCCCGAATTATATGACTGTCCTCCCATTCGTTGTCTGCCTCTCTGCCTTTTCTCTTTTTCCTCAGCATGGCGATCTGCCAGGCTTTGACAGTATAGAGGAGGCTATGGTACTTAAAGCACGTGAGCGCTGTCGTAATTGTGTACCAAGCTCACACAGTCAGCTCCAAGAGAAGCTCGCTGCAAAGGGGTACGCACACGAGGGAGAATTCCCGGAGATTTCTGCACGGCACGCGCATGCAGCGACGAAAACGTCAGGTTTTACGATGTGCAAAAGCCTCGCGTTTTCATCTCGTGATGCGCACACGCCGGAGAAAAATCCCCGGGATTTGTCCCTCGTGTGAATACCTTAGAAGCGTTCTCCTACAGAACAAGCACTAGCGCTCGAAATGCACTTTTCAAAGCCAACAGCGCCAGCTAGCTCGTGTTTGTAACTTTGGCAACACTGTACTTTGGCTGTAGTCTCAGCATATAGGTTGTATTCACTGGCGGTCATAGCTTCGTGTGCGACTGCTGAGCGCGTGTTGACGCCAATCTTCGCCAGGGGCCCTATGCTGCACGTTTTGGACTTTGACGGCAACTAGGGAGAAGGAGGTGACGTCAACAACGCAGCAAACGCAGATTGGATGGTGATTTGGTTTTCTTTTTTCAACATCTAATCTGCGTTTGCCGTGTCGTTGATGTCACTTCCTTCTCCATAGTCGCCGTGGGAGTCCAAAATGTGCAACATAGGGTCCAGTTCTTTCAGGGGGATGGCATCACGTGATTTTTTTGAAGCCTAGTCATAAAAAAAAGTCGGCCCGGAAGTCGGCCGGTTGGCGGTGTACTATGAAATTCTATCTCGTCCGGTGGGATTTACAAGCAACGGAGCCGTCGAAACGTGCGGCGATGTCCGAGATTTCCGAGATCGTCGAGACGCGGAGTCTGCGAACCACCGATGCGTAAAATCCGCGTGATAACGGAGAGCACCGCTTGAGCAACAGTTCTGACGACGGAGAACGACATCGAAGGCGTATTCTCCATCGAAGTCGCCTTGCAAAGTGTTCGCGATCGCGGCGGTCGCGCTTGATTTTGTGGACGAATCGTCTGCTAGAGTTTCCTAACCGCGATGGGATTGTGTAGTGTAGGAAAGTGCAGCAATCGGTCCGAGCGGTTCAAGAAGTCGCCCACTGTTTCGTTTCATCGGTGAGTGCGTACACCCTTTGTTGATGAAACTTCAAAGTTAATATATATCACTTTTGTATGCTCCCAGCTTCCCGAGCGACGTCGCGCGTCGCAACCGATGGGTTGAGGCACTGAACAGGGGAAGTGGTTGGACCACGTCAAAGAATAGCGTGGTGTGCTCGGCGCACTTTCAGTCCGAGGACTTCGAGCGGAGCTTCACAGGGGTCCGTCGTCTCAAGAAGAGTGCCGTGCCATCGGTGCTCTTACCAAAGGTAACTAATTAAAATACGCATATCCTTAGCACATGAGTATATTGCACATCAAAATAGTTGACAATTTTGTTTTTCATTCCAGCAAACTGAAGCGCAGAGTGGACGAAGTGGGACACAAGATCCTGGAGATAACGGGGGAAACGGCAGAAGTGGCAAGTGATTTGTACTATACTGTAAATGATTTACTTTTCGCGGCGATTGAGGTCAAAGCTGATAGTTTTGGAATAATTCGCGGGTTCTAATTTTCGCGACGCGGTGGGATCTCCAATGTGTTTACATTTTACCGGAATTGTTCTTGGGACCTATTTTTCGCGAAATTCGTGAAAATGGGGTTCCCGTGAAAATTAAGTGGTTTACATATACACACACCCGAAATCCATCGCCTCCCCCCCCCCCCCTCCCCCACCGCTCTTCTAATCTTTTTGTTTTCTGTGCAAAGTACCTGTAAGACTGTACCCCCTTTCCTGCAGCCCTCCCATATTTGGAACGTGCCCTCCACTGCAGAGAGAAAATTCCGGATAAAAAATACCCAGCAATGAAAGTACGAGCATGCAACAGGTTTAATTGATATGACGTTTGAAGCCGAAATGGCTCTTAGATGACACAAAAGAAGCTAGCCTGCTTGGATGACCATTTACTACGCTGAAGCTCTTGTTGCTCATCGGTTTACTTTGTTTGCTCGCATAGTTTGCAACATGGGCTATACAAAAGCAGAATACAACTTTAAGTTTCTTACGAGATACTTCACTGCATGTCTTTAATTCTTATGTAGTAAACGCATCATGGTAACAGAACAATATAATTTAAAGTGAGTGCATGCACAGTAAAGCAGATGAACACAAAGAATAAACAGAAAGGTCTAAAAAAGCAAAGTTTTATTATTCTCTTGAATATTGAAATTAGCAAAGATAACGAGGAACAATGCACAAAACACACAAAAACAAGTGGAAGGAGTAGGCGTCCCGTCTACTCCTTCCACTTGTTTTTGTGTGTTTTTTGCACTGTTCCTCGTTGTAGCCATGAACCAACTCGCCTGCATCGCCACCTTAATATAGCAAAGATGGTAGACTTCTTCTGGCCGGCTAATTTTGAAATGTCCTACAGCATATGTTAGTCTCTGCGGCCACAACACTGCATCGTATGTACTCATTCTTACATATTTTATAGGATTTGTCCCAGTCGAGGCTATTGAGCCACTGTTGGAGGAGTATGTAGGCGTTGAAGTTGAAATGGAAGTGGTAAGTACACAACTCATTCAAGTGTTGGATTTCAGTGTGCTGTTCTGAAAGTCACTTTTTATGTGTGCGTAGGTGACCTGCAAAGGTAAAGTTAAAGACGATGGAGACTTATTCATAGTGAGCGAATTTCATAGGAATATAAAACATTTTACCTGTGCCAGATATTATATCTCGGAAGCATTTTTCATTATCGCTAGTTTACTTCTCTAAGCACTGTCTTGATGCTTGTACAGTCCTAACAAAAGAAGAATACAAAGTACTTGCAGTACAGCTGCCGCCTCAAAGAGTAACTCGGCACATTCATAGTTCCGTAACGATGTCACTTAAAGTGAAAAATGCAGCTGCTGTTTGTCAGTCCGTCCTATTACAACTAATCATTTGCTGGGGGGATGGGGTGGAAAATGTTGAACTCAAGATATCCCTCAGCAGAACACAAGAAAAGTATGTACCAACCCATGCATGCTAGCTGGTCAGGCTGGGCAAAATGTGTGCTGCATAGGTCACATTGCCGTAGCGTTGTTGCAGCCCTGATATTGTTTAATGAAGCTAGATACTTTATGACATCAACTGCTATAATTTGGAACACATGCCTCAATGCAGAAGTTGATATTCAGGCTGCCAGAATCCCCACACACTTAATACCTTGTGTAGCAAGGGTTGAGCAAGCATCAACACAATCATGGTGCATAGAGCTTCTCACAATATGACCGTGAACTCCCAAGTGTCTTGGCATGAATCCAAATCTGAAGCCAGGAGTGCCCCACCAGAGAAAGCGAATGCGAATATAGGTGTAAGGTTCACTGGAAACTCTGCCTGTAGCATGAGATTAATAGCCTTCAGAGCACAAGACACACACAGCCGAAGTGCTGCTGATGGCAGTAAACAGATGCTGGAGGTGGATCTTACAATGCGCTCCTTGCCTGTGACAGGCTATATGCCTGACGCAGGTTACATGTGTGTAAGAATGGAAAATGTCTTTGGCTGAGAAAAATGGCTCTTCAGAAAAATATGAAATTATCCTCAAATATGATTGTTCTGAGATATGCTTAACATTGTGGATCGGCTTGGTTGCCGGCACTATAGCTTGCAACAACTCCTGCCACATACTTTGACATGTTAATGCAAGCTGGGCGATGAATTACTTCACTGTTACCATCTGTACAAAGTGCACACCTGCCATGCTTAGAATCCTTGTATCCATGCAGGAACCGGCAGAACATTCCAGTTTTTCGGAGTGTGTTCCTGGTACTAGTGCTTCTTCGGGGGCAGAGGTGAGAAAAACTTTATAGTTAGTGTATGTAATTAATTTAAGTCTTTTTTTCCTTAATCACATCCTTTTTCTTTAGGCATTTCCAGAGTACAGCACACAGAATGTGGACCTCTCAATGTCTTTGACAGACTTGGTAATGAGCTGCTTATTTGTTAGCATATATGCCAGCTTTGCATACAAAGTCTGAACTTGCTGAAATTTATCAATGCAGGAACCGGCAGCACATTCCAGTTTCGTGGAGGGTATGCCTGGTACCAGTGACTTAAGAACAGATGTAAGAAATCTTTCTAGTTAATGTACATAAATAGCTGTATAATGAATTGCAAGTTGTTTGTTTTTTCTTAATCACATCCAAATTTTTTTCAGGAACCTCCAGAGTCCTCCAGCACACAAGACGTCGACCTCTCAATGTCGTTGACAGACTTGGTAATGAGCTGCCTATTTTGTTAGCCTATATTCCAGCTTTGTGTACAAAGTCTAAACTTGAATCTGACTATCAATGCAGGAACCAGCAACATATTCCAGTTTTGTGGAGGGTGTGCCTGGTACCAGTGCTTTCAGGACAGAGGTGAGCATAATGTTTTAGTTGGTGTGATTAATATATTACCAGTTGTTCGTTCTTTCTTAATTGCATCCACTCTGGTTTAGGTACCTCCAGAGTCCAGCACACAGGATGTTGACTTGTCAGTGCCTTCGACAAGCTCGGTAATGAGCCGCTTCATTGTAACGGTGAAACATAACTAGTCTTGAGCTTTTTGTATCTATGCAGAATCTGACGGGACATTCCAGTCTCATGGATGTTTCTGACGAGGGCCCCACAAGACTGGAGGTGAGCAAAACTTTTGTGCTAGAGGAAATTGCATATAAACTGCAAGTATTGTTTTTATTTCTTATGACTTAATATTTCTCAAAATGTTTGATGCAGTATCCTCTAATGCATGTTATTTTCACAGTATTTGACTGTTAATAAAAATCAACAAATATGACTAGGTAACTGACCTGTCATTGTGAAGAAATTTTGTAATCAATGAAATTGCTCACGGATTGCGATTTTAGCCGGATGATTTCGTGCCGAAAAATGTGATCAATAAAAGTTGATTTCCCGCATCAATATTGTGCGAGGTGTGTGATTCTTTGCGATTATCTGCACTAACACAGTTGGTGACAGGGCAAAAGCAATGGTTTCTCTTTCAATTTACCCTGCTCGGGTCTTTGCTGGTAATCAACTGCCAACTGGGGTGGAGGGGGATTCGTGTCATAGGTGAATCAACAAGGAGGCTCCAACACTTGCCTGTTACCAACTGCATAACTTGCACGAAAATCAGAAATTGCTTTCAGTATGGTGATTATTTCAACCACGAGAATGCAGAAGATGCCAATCATTAAAAACAAGGAAGACAAAATGGAAACGAATGCCTGCAACCAAAAGGCAAGCTCATTCTAGTTTCTGTCACGACTTGGTGAACTGCGACATTGCTTCTAAGATTTCACGCGAAGAAATATACACTCAACTCTCCATTAATTACCTTTGATAGCATGCATCTACTAACAAAGCATGCCTGACTTAGAAAATATAAGATACCCACGGTAAAAAAAAGGCTTTTCTCAAATCTGTACAGGTTTGACATAAGCTGCCTCAATTTGGTAGCCGATAGAAGTTTCCTTGCAGAGCTTTCATATCAAATGGCAGAGTAAATATAACACGCCATATATGTCATTGTAGGATCAACCTCCTGACGACACACCTGAAAAGGCCTTCTTGCGAAAGGAGGTTAGGCGCTACTGTAACCTGCAAACAGCGAGCAAAAAGAAAATCAAGACCCTTCAGCAAGCACAGCGCCGCCTCAAAAAGAAAATAGCTCAAGTGCAAGACATTATTGATGATCTGTCAAAAAACAACATACTAATTGATGAAAATCTATCGGTGCTTCAAAGCTTTGCCGGAGTGAACAAAGATCTCCTGATGCGTCAGGTTGCACAAAAAAAGGGTGTGCCTCGGCCAGTCCAGTACTCGCCTGAACTGCGAGCATTTGCACTCACCCTGCATTTTTACTCGCCAAGAGCATACACTTATGTCCGGCAGGTCTTCGACACGTGCCTTCCACATCCACGAACCCTAGGCAAGTGGTACCAGAGTATAGATGGAGAAGCTGGGTTCTCAAAGGAAGCTCTCGCTGCTCTGCAGATGAAGGTGACACAGGACACGGCATCTGGGAAACCAACAGTTTGTGCTCTAATGGTTGATGAGATGGCTGTGAGACGCCATGTGGAATGGGATGGACAAACGTTTCATGGGTATGAGGACATGGGTGCGGGTATCAGTGACGATTCACTGCCTGTTGCCAAAGATGCCTTTGTTGTCATGATTGTGGGGGTGAATGGTCAGTGGAAACTTCCTCTGGGATATTTTCTTGTGGATGGAATCGGAGGAGAGCAGCGAGCCAACCTTGTCAAACAAGCCCTCACGTTGGCCCACGAGAATGGTGCCAAGGTTGTGTCTCTAACGTGTGATGGGGCTCCAGCCAATCTGACAATGTTGCGCAACTTGGGGTGCAACTTCAATGTTGACCAATTAGCGACCACCATTCGGCACCCGGACACAAAGGAACCGGTTTTTGCTTTCTTAGACCCCTGCCATATGCTAAAATTGCTTAGAAATGCTCTTTCTGATAAGCATGCTTTTGTGGACAGAGATGGAGGCCTCATCCAATGGAAGTTTGTGGAAGATCTCCATGAGATACAACAAAAAGAAGGAGTGCTCATTGCAAACAAGCTGAGAAAGTCCCACATTTATTGGAAAAATCAGCCAATGAAGGTGTCACTTGCTGCACAATTATTTAGCACATCAGTTGCCGATGCAATTGCGGAATGCCGCAATCTCGGTATTCCCAGCTTATACCAGTCACGCCCAACAGAGCAGTTTATCAGGCATGTAAACAATGTCTTCGACATCCTGAATTCGCGACATGTCGGCCAGAAGCTGTGGAAGAAACCATTGTGCAAGGATAATATAGAAGAAGTCCGGTCCTATCTAGACAATGCTGCATCCTACTTCTCGTCTGTACAAGAATGCGTTGATGGACTTCTGATGACTGAAACGAACAGAAAAACTGGATTCATTGGCTTCCTAGTATGCATTCGCAGCGTCCTTGACCTCTACAAGCATGTCGTTGAAGACACTTCACTGATGACATACCTTCCCACATACAAGTTCAGCCAAGACCATCTCGAACTTTTTTTTGGAGTGATGAGGTCTCACGGAAGGAGCAATGATAACCCAACAACAAGGCAGTTTGCTGCTGTCTTCAAGAGACTGATTGTGTTGAACGAGGTTAAAGACCTCACGTCAGGTAATTGCCTTCCACTTGAACAGGTCAAGATCTTGCATGTCACAAGCGCAACAGATGTAAATTCTGTCGAAGTTCTGAACTGGACCACTGCTAGAAGAAGTCTAATTGAAGACGGTGAAGATGTGGGGCGTGGTGATGATGATCTTCTTGATCATGACTATCTTCCGGACCCAAGACATATCTCGGAACTGTCGCAGAGGGCCGTTGTGTATATAGCTGGCTTTGTAGTTCGGTTCCTCCTCCAAAAACTGAGGTGCACAAAATGTGTCGCCGCACTGACAGCAGCTCCTGGCACAGACCCAGCGCACTCACTTTTGCAGCGGAAGACAGCAGAAGACTTGCCTTGTCCATCTGCGGATGTCTTGGAAGTATGTCGAGAATGTGAGATCGGCCTCCGTGCCACTTTGAAACAATCTTCAACTGCATCAAGAAGTTTTGTGGAAAAGATGCTGAGTAATATTCTTAAACGCTTCATTGGCAAAGACATCTTTAGCTCTCTCAATGACCACATGCTTGAGAATGAACCCATGGAGAACCACGCCTATCATCTCATGCGGTCTGTTGCGCAGAAGTACCTGGATATCAGACTGCGAAGCATAAGCATGGTGTCCACAGATGACCTACACCAGCAAAAAGTAAGGCAAAGGCACACCAAACTCACACAGTTCAAAGGCCAGTAGATATATGAGCCAGATTATGCATGTACGTACATATTCCAACATATACATAGTGTAAATATTTTGAACCGATTATCATGTCTTCCGTCAACCTAGTAATTATTGTGTTCGTCTGAAAGGGGTACCGTAACTATTTCATAAGTCATTATTGTGGTGCAAATCAAACAATGTTGTAAATAAGTGTTGTATATATTGTTTTAATTTTCGAAGTGAGTCTAATGTAAATAAAAGACTTGAATTAAGACACTTCGAGACAAGTGGAGCTAGGCTTTACTCGCGGTAACAAGGTGAAGCTGTCTCAACAAGGTAAGTTGATATCTCACAAGCACAACAGGAGGGGTGTAGAGTTCACCATGATTCGTTTTCCTATGTTGGATCTTCCGAATTTTCGGGCGGACGCCTTGCATATCGCTAAATCATTTCTCACTGCCGAAGACATCGCAGTGGCAACGTCTGCTGCTCTTGTGCGCTTTCGCAGAAGGAAGGTTCTGTTTTTTTGGAAACAGCTCGGGAGAGAAAATTAGAGCGCACGGAAGGACCGCAGCCCAGGGCCGGCTCGCTGGAATGCAGCGTCTCAGCCGAGGCGGACGTAAAGCACTTTCAAGGTTGGAGCGCGCGAGCGCGTGAGACGCGATTCAAGACTGAGCGCTTTCTTGAGACAGTTTCTGCTGAGACGCTGCTTCGAGCGAGCCGGCCCATGTTCTAGCTCGACTTCCATTACAGAGCCTCCTGGAGGTTTACCAACAAGGTAGGTGCATCGCGAAGAAGTGCTTTAGTTCGGAAATTCCACATTTTAAGCTCTATCTATAGCGGTCGAGAAATACAAGGCAAAAGAACGACAAGCAGACGCTACAAATCCGGCAACCACCGTCTCCGCGCTCGCTGCCTACTCCGTAAATACAAGGAAAAAGAACGACAAGCAGACGCTACAAATCCGGCACCCACCATCTCCGCGCTCACTGCCTCATAAGAACGGCAAGCAGACGCTACAAGTCCGACACCCACCGCCTCCGCGCTCACTGCCTGCTCCGTGTATTGAACATACTACAGCTCACCATAATAGCGCCTCTACTAAAACCTACCAGAAAAAGTCACGTGGCGGGGCCGACTCGTCCCGAGATGCATACCGTTTCCGGAAAAAGTGTGAGGAGGGTAGGGGGGAGAGGCGGCTTCAGAAGAAGTTGCCTTGCCGAGGCTAGGCTCGTGACGTCATGCCATCCCCCTGAGTTCTTTCGCCACGAGCATTCCGCACCATCAAGACTGCCGGTCTTAGCAGCCTATTAATGTAAGCCTGTTCTGAGCATGCACATCACCCTCAAATATGGCGTCCAGTGAATATCCCCTATAGAGAGGTGCTCAAGCTATACAACAAGGGCTACATTTATTTCCTGCATTAGAGGCCTATCGAGTTGTCTGTATGTCTATCACCGTTTTAAACCCCCCCAAAACACACACAAACACACACACACACAAACCCTTCGTTTTATTTTTATTGTATTTGTTTTTTATACTCCCAACGTCCGCCTTCTTTTTTAAAGCTTGCAATCAATCTTCCTGTTCTTTTTGTTGAAAACCAAGCGAAGACTTCCCGCCTTAAGAACCTTTACTACCCTACTCACAACTTTCTTTTTTTTCTCCGTCCATCATTGTCATTAGTCACCTTTGCTAAAAGCAGACGACAGGAAGACAAAGAAATGAAGCCTAGCGACAAACTTTCGATATATTAAACAATTTGTACGTGGTATAAGGGTATTGAGACTCGTATTGTTCCCCGCTGTGCGTTGTCTAGTTCGTACGCATCTCCGATTTGAGCAAAAATTACTTACTCCTAAAAAAACAAAAAGAAAAAAAAGAAAAAAAAGAGAGGTTACAGAAGAACGCCGAAAGGCAGAAAAGAGAACAAAGGA